TGAAGGGATTGGAGAAAGAGGGTATTGCCAGAGAACGTGCCTCAGCTTGTGACGGCACAACTTGGGGTGCTGGGGAGATCTTTCATTTCCCTTCCAGATCTCCAATGATTGATGGTTCTTAAACTGCAGCCTGGGTGGCACCTGCCCAACTCCCAAAAACATGGCATCCATAAAATTCTGTCCCCACCTGTTTCTCCTGCCATCCCCCAGGAGGAAAGTCAAGGACCTACCAAGCTCACTAACACGTTTGAGAATGCTTCATTCAGTTCCTTTGTTTGCTACAATAGGAATGCACACATCAGATTCAGACCCCAAAGCTTCTCAGTAGCAAGCCCAGGCAGAGTGAACTGCACATGAAGAGCAAAGGGGACAGAAATCAATATTTGCGCAGTGGAAAAGAAAAATCAATTGAGAGGAAGGAAAATGTTATCTCTAAGCCTTTGAAAGCAGTGGCTTAGATGTAGCTAGATTAGCATGTAAAGAAGGAAGGGACGATAGAAAAAGTAGAGAGTCTTTTGACATTTAAGTTTTTGGTTATAAAGAGCTCAATCATTCAGAAAGCATTTCCTTTTTTAAAAATTGTGGTATAGGTCACATGGCATTAAATTAATCATTTTATAGTGAACAATTCAGTGGCATTTAATACACATATAATACTATACAACAACCACCTCTATTTAGTTCCAAAACTTCAGGAAGTATTTACCATTCTAGAATTATACATGTAGAAACTACAGTTTAAAATATTGGAAAATTTTCTTAGACTTTTCAGCACTTTGCACTTAATTCTCCAGATTATATTTGAGCACTCAGTTGTTAGGCTTCCTGCCTAACTCATAATTACATATATTTCTTCGGTGTTGAAAATTGGCTGATCTAATTATGTCTCCACATTGATAAGGCAGGTGAGAGGAGGGATAATGGATTTCTACAGATAGGCACATTCCATATTTGTATCTGACAGAGTGTTTAAGCAATTCAGTGGATGATACATATTCACTCTAAGGAGGTTTACTCAGTTTACCAATCCTAGCACTAATCTCATCCAGAAACATCTTCATGCACACAACCAGAAATAATGTTTAGTCAAATATCTGGGCACCTTGTGGTCCAGTCAAGTCAACCCATCAAATCAACCATCGCGCCCTTTTTTCTCCATTTACTCTATATTTTTGTGACACTTGAAACTTAAAGTTTGAGTAACTGAAAAATTATTTCAGTCGTTTCTTTTGTCCAGGATGACAAGCAGATTGATCAAGTGTGTAGCCAATAAAAAGGGACTTCATTGCAAAATCAAATGGAGTCCCTCAACTCCCCACCAAATTTTTTCTTACAAACTGGCAAATTTGGTTTAAGCAAAAACCAGACGTCTTGAGCATTGAGGTCTGAAGGATGTGGAAAATCTGTTTCTTCTTCAGTGGAGGAAATGTATATTCTTTTGCCAGTAAACATATTCAGAGCTTCTATGACTGCCCTAAGGTCATTCATGGATACCTGCTGTGGCTGCAGAGCAAAGAAGTAGTCTAGGAAACAAACAGTGGACTCCATCTTGCTACCTGAAGTCTTCCAGCTAGCCTCTTGTGTGTGTCTGATATATCCACCCTGCTCTGATCCATTGATCACATAAAATGAACTTTGTAACTGAGTTGGACTGCCTCCAGCTCTCATTTGACTCACTCTGGCTGTCATAAGTATTTATACGTTAACTTATTTGTAAATATTTGTGTGTTCCAAACATTTTGTGTGTTACCTTGGGACTGTAACTACACACACAAAAAAAGCCTTCTTGAAAAATGTGGTAGCAAAATTCTCTTTTGCTGTTTCTCAAATAGCAGGATCAGTCTGAGGTAGAATCCTGTCTTGGACCCCTGAAAAATAACTGATTCATGATTTATGAGCTTTCCACCTGAAGGAAGAATCAATAGAAGGAAAAGACTTGGAAAGAACAATCCAATAAGTAGCTTTAAGCCTATTGTCCATAATTACTTTCTGGAGTTCCATTTTATCATTTTATATATAGAAGGCACTCAATACATGTTTGTTATTTGAATCAGATGAGGATTTTTTTTTTCATTAGTAATCTTTACTCTAAGATGCATTTTGCCTTACTAGATCGATCAAATAATTATGGTATTTGGTGCCAGGTGCTCAACTCAAAGAAATGATTATTTTTAAACAGTCTTTGATTTTTGTAACCATCCGCTATGGTCTGGGCCCTGCCACTTTGGTGCTTGCTAATCATGACTCATGAGACCGTATATGCATTGCCTATAGTAGTGGTTCTCAACTCTAGATTCATTTGGAATCTCAATTTAAAATACAAGTTCTTAGCTGGGCATGGTGGCTCATGCCTGTAATCCCAGCACTTTGGGAGGATAGCCTGAGCTCAAGAGTTCGAGACCAGCCTGGGCAACTTGGTGAGACCTCATCTCTACAATAAATCAAAAAAATTTAGCTGGGTATGGTGGTGCACGCCTGTGGTTCCAGCTACTTGGAAGGCTGAGGATCACCTGAGCCCAGCAGGTTGAAGCTGCAGTGGCCATGAGCATGCCACTGTACTCCAGCCTGGGCAACAGAGTGAAACTCCAACTAATTAATAATAATAAAAATAAAATATAAGTTCTTGGGGTTTTTTTAACCTACAATGATCTTTAGGTCTGACAAGTGACCAATAATCCTACAATTTATCAAGTCCCCTAGGTGATTCTGCTGTAGGTGATCCATGGAGCACATTTTAGAAATTGACCCATTGATTTAACACAACTGTAGTCTTGTTTCGAGCAGAAAGAAGATGAAGAACCAACAGTTAGTACTTTGCTAGTGCAATGATGATGCTCCTGTCCTGGGACAAGATCTTCTTTCACGGATCACTATTTTTGTCTTCTTCCTGCTTCCCACGCAAAATCCAACTGGACTTGCCTTGGGTGGTGGTAGCTGGGTCTGTGATATTCCAAGACTTCAGTGGCTACTAGATGGAGTGTTGTCAATGACCAAATCCCATATTTCATGTCCTGCCTGTGCACCTGGTCCTCCACCAATAACCAAACTCCACTTGTACGCTTCTTTGGGGTCCTCCAGTGCCTACTGCTTGGACATGCTCTCTTTGCCCATTTTGCGCCGATGGCTTTACCAGATGGCTCATTTACAAAGGTCCAGCCTCTGGAGAGCAGGGCCTCAGGTCGGGGGAGGGAATGAGAAAAGAAAGACAAAGAACAGCAGGATTGGGAGGACTCTCTCCTGAATAGGTGAGAGCAATTTTATTCTCTCAGCATGCCCCTTATATAGGGCCAAACTATATAAACAGGAAATATCTTAATGCTAGCAACAGCAGGAAATGGGTTAATGCTCGTGACTTTCTCAGCAAGATTACCATAGCACTAACGTCCATGTTATTGATGATTTAAAGTAAAACCACTAACATTTGTTTTCTAAAAACTCTGATAAGTAAAGTTATGATCAAGGCAGGCCACATTCGGACTACACAGACTAGAGGTCACACTAACTGATTTCTTTTTATTTATTTTATTCTTTATTTTTGTTTTTTGTTGTTGTTGTTGTTTTGAGTTGGAGTCTCACTCTGTCGCCCAGACTGG